GGTGGCAGCAGAAGACCATTAACTGGCAGCAGAAGAGAGATCCCCACTTTGCCTCTCTCCTCCCGAGGGCTCTCAGTGCAAACAGAACCCCAGTTCTGCCTTGTTCCTGAAGCCAAATAAAGGGTCAATAAGCAGCTGGCTCTTCTTTGAGCTGGAATGCTTTTATGCTGGCTCCCACAGTGGCATGTTAGTGCTGCTGTGAGAAGAGCACTTTTTCAGCTCTACATTCATGCTAGTCCTGCTGGGGAAGAATACAGAAAAACCTGCAAGCGTGGTTATTGAGGAAGTGAGCTGCTCAGTGTTTGTGCATCTTCCATGACACTGAGGAATTGTCCTTAATAGAGTGTGATGATATTTGTGGCAGTGTTCAGAAGGACTGGCCTGGCCAGTTGTCTTAGCAATGCGATGGTGTGCTCTTTCTGCTTAGCTGAGCAAGAGGCGTGATCATGGTGGTTCTCATAAGCCTATCGGCCTAGTAATAGGCTGGCTTTTTCAAATTATTAGTTAACCTGGCCTTGCCCCAAGATTCTTTTTATATGGGTTTTTCTATTTATTTAGCATAGGATTCTTACGAACCTTGGGAAAGCAAAACAAGGCTGGTGGTTGTTATGAAATTACCTGCTAAGCTATGTGGAAGGCTGGAATGAAGCAAAATTCATGTAGCTAGTGCAGACAGCGTAGATGCCCTAGTTCTTTTCTTGTTCCCCCTTATACCTTGTATAGAATACTACAGCTATGTTTACAGGACACGTTTATTCAATTTTCTGGCTTTCCAGACACAATGACTAACTACAAGGACCTGCTAGAATGTGGTTGGCTAGTTGTGTTCAGTATATCATGAATGCAGTCAATGTATATTTATTTAAATACTTTAATCCCTGCTTTTCTGTTTAAAAAGCACTCAATTTGCATTAACTTTTGAGGTTTTTTTGCCTGAGAGATTCAGCATTAGGTGTTGTTTCATCTGGATTGAAAAATAAAACATTGGGGACTTTCCTGTCCTTTCTTTGCTTCTTATACATGTGCACGTGAGCCAGGGTGATATAGTGATTAAAGTGCTAGACTAGGAATGGGGAGACGCAGGTTCTAGTCCTCCCTCAGGCACAGAAGCCAGCTGGGTGACTTGGGACCACTGTTTTGCAGCTCTTTCTGCTTAGCTGAGCAAGAGGCGTGATCATGGTGGTTCTCATAAGCCTATCGGCCTAGTAATAGGCTGGCTTTTTCAAATTATTAGTTAACCTGGCCTTGCCCCAAGATTCTTTTTATATGGGTTTTTCTATTTATTTAGCATAGGATTCTTACGAACCTTGGGAAAGCAAAACAAGGCTGGTGGTTGTTATGAAATTACCTGCTAAGCTATGTGGAAGGCTGGAATGAAGCAAAATTCATGTAGCTAGTGCAGACAGCGTAGATGCCCTAGTTCTTTTCTTGTTCCCCCTTATAC